CCAACGCCTACATATCAAGGCTAGGCAGGTGCTACTGCACAACAAGCCATCAGACAGCTCTCAACGCTTCAGGGTCTATGAAATTTGTAAGAGCTCGCAAGGGTGTCATGTCTCTATCGACACCATCCGAGTCAAAGCCACAGCAGTGAGCTCCCGCGGCATCGGCAGCGATTCGAGCTCGAGATCCTCCTTGAAAGAGTTTATGTAGGGGCCTGAAGAATTGCCACTATCATTCCTGAGGCTTCACTGGTATGCCGGTACCATACTGTTCGGCAAAACGATGCTTCAGCTATTGGCCCATTCTTTTTTTTTGTTAAGGTGCAGTGGCTCTTTGCCCGCAGGACTGCAGGTCACAGGGCCTGCCTCAGGGCTAGCATGTCATTTAGGGGACAAATGGGGCTAGGGGCTGGGATGCAGTGTCGGGAGATTGTTTCCCTAGCCAACGACTGTTCAGAGAGTGCCTGAACTTCATACAACGGGCCGATGGAGCGAAGATGGCAAGACGACCCACGCGTTCACGCAGACTGTCAACCAGTCGTAGCTAGTAGCAGCTATTGGGAGCCTCGTGCTGCCCAAGCCCTGAACCCTTAATCAAACATTCCATGGGTAAGAGACAACCCTTCTCAAGCATCTGCCCTTAGCACGTGAATTCTCCGAAGACATCTCCCGGAAGCTTTACCGTCGAAATATACCTGAACCTTCAGTTTAGGCTAGGCTAGAGAGCCAGAAAACCTTCACCTTGCATCTCCCCATTAAGAAGCTTCTTTCCCCGGTCCTCCAGCAGCTCGGGTGAACAGTTTGCCAGAAGCCGCAAGCGAAGCGACGGAAGCGAGAGCCTGGTCGTGATTACGATTATTATGAAGGCATTCATTTCTAGGCTTTTGGGGTTTAGGGCCACTGACCCTGCTGTTGCTATGATCTTTCTCTAGCTGCTCCTCCTTCTTTCCCTTTCCGCACATATGGATGAAATGGCAACTGCAGCAGTGGTGAAACCGTGGCGTCGACGCCGTCGTCGTGCTGATGCTACTGCTGCGGAGGCTCTTCCTACTCCCACTGCTGCTGCTGCTACTCCTACTGCTGCTATGCCTCCTGCTACGCCTGACACCGTCGGAACGAAGGGCTTTACGAAGACTGGTGGATAGCGGATTCGAGGCGTTTCCAAGTGTGAAGCACTCACCATGGCCGAGAAGACACACTTGCCGCTGGCTGAAGGCTTGTAGTGCGTCACAAGCGGCTGCTGCTGCAGGAGACGTTTCAGCTCAGCAGCTGTCGGGCACTCCCTCAGAGACCTCGACGGAAACACATCACAGAGGACGTCGCTAGAAGACCGGGTGGTGCAAGCGATGCAGGAAAGCTGTCAAGAATGTGAGGGGTTTGGGGCAGATCGCTGACCGCGGCCAGAAGTCATCACATCTTCTGCATCTGGGAACCAGGCACTTGTAGCAGTCTCTCACCCGCCACATTGCAGACGGTGACTGGAGCGCCTGCAGGTGGGGTGAGAACTTGAACGGCAGGAAGCAGCATTCGATGCAGAGTGCCCGCATTCAGGAACTCTAAAGGGCTCGCATTGCAAGGTCAAGGGTGTCGCAGCGCCTGCAACTGTCGAGCACTGTCCGTGAAGCCCAGGCAGGTCTGGAGCACCTGTCCGTGCAGCTTCCAAATATGTTTTTCCTGGCCGTATATGCTCCAAGAGGCGTTCAAAAGACATGGCAGTGGCAGCAGAACTTCTGAGCCCCAGCTTCTAAACGCACAGCAAGAACCTAATGCACCCAAAGCCCCCTTCCTCCGTGCCCGGAGCCAAAACCATACCTGATGCAGCATCCGAAACCTGATCAAAATGAGCTCCAAACCCGTTTCATGAGTCTCGAAAGACACACCAAGAACTCTAAACCAACGCCCTGGAGCCTAAACCCGAAACCCGGAGCCTTGAAGCCCGGCCGGGCTTTCGCAAACGATGGCTTGCGGTGTTCGTAACTCGGGTTGCGAGCAGCCTCAGAGGTGTAGAGCTCACCTCAATAGTACTCATCCTAGCTCTTTTGATGCGACTATCATTCCAAAATCTGGCACCCAGCAATCGACCATCAAGTCTTAGCCAGTGCTTCAGAATACAAACTCCAAAACGTGACCAAAACGTGAAATCCTATGCTGCGGCCAAAATCCCAAGAACAGCCATGTCTGCAGCGAAGGAGCCGCCCGAAACCGTTGCGGGCTGCTCAATAAGCCTTGCCCGGGCTTTGCTCTCTGGCCGTCTTTTCAAGGCCTCTTCCTTCTGGGGTTCAGGGTTTTGCGGTTTGGAGCCACAGGGCTTAGGGGCTTAGGAGGGAAAGTGTAGAAGATCCGGGCTCCCCGTAGTTGTGACCCCTCGGACGAAGCTCTCGCGCTGCCTTCAATGGCCAGGTTCAAGGACTGCCTACCCAACACATACAGCGTGATTACTTCGACAAACATGGTCGTCTGCCAAATGCAAGTCTGAATGCATCCTTGCAGCAGTTTCATAGGACTTTATATCGTCTCAGACACTGCGCAAGGATGGGTGATGTCGGCATCATCTAACGGCTTTTGGTGAGCGAGACAGAGCTGCGCACTTTCATCATTTCGGGTGCATTTATCTCCTTCTGCTCTTAGCCACTTCCGGGGTAGACTCTGCAATGACCAATACGACTGAACACGGCACAATCCATTGAAAGATCCGTCGGCAGTCATCGTGAGCCTCGAGATCGTACCAGCCATTGGGGCAAGGCTGCCATGCCAAAGAATTCAAAACCTACAGGCGCCTGGAGTCTCGAGTTGCAGGGCTTTCTTGCAGGTTCCCAATGCTTGCTGAGTTGGGGCTGTGGAGTTATCGGGATCGTTTCTGCTATGCTTGAGCTTACGCTGGCAGGTCCTGAAGCAGAATTTCTAGAAGCGACCTTCATCCTCGGACAATGACCACCAGTCCAAGTAACGTCTTTCAGCCCTGCTGCGCTTCAAACTTGGAGGGGCTCCTTGTGTATGATACCTTGTCTGTTCCAGCATCGCGACATGTCCAAAAGTCTACGGCCTGTTCAGCCAAAAGTCTTCGGCGAGGCATCGTTCTTGCAGAGATTCCTTCGGCCTTTCCAAAACTTTTTGAAATTTCAACCCTTGATGGCCGCCGGTGCACATATGCAAGACACGTCGGAAGCATGCCAAGTATGTGCTTTATATATATACACACATAAATATACATAATCACATACATACATACGTACATACATAACATTGCATTACAGTACAATCCAATCCATTGCAATGCAACACAACACAATACAACACATACATGCATGCGCACGCATACATGCATACATACATACATACATCCATGCACACATACATACATACATGCATCCATGCATGCATACATGCGTACGCTACATCTACACACAGACATACGCACATGAAAGCCACTGACAGATATAAAGATGCGCGCGCAAACTGCAGCTTCTCGGGGGCCCTGGAGGCAGCGGGGAGTCTTTCGGAGGCCCCGTCTTTGGAGCTCGGAGGTTTCGTGCAAAGAATTCGAGGCCAATAACGATCTGCGGGCCTGTTGCCACTGCAAGGGTGTGCTTAAGGCCTATTTCCTAGGGATTGGGGATGCGAGCTTTTGGTTTAAGGGGTTTGGGGTTTGGGCTTGCATCTTAATCTTATCCTGCTGATGGTATCTGCGCTCATTGACAGCTCATGTCTTGCAGTGAGTCGAGTCCTTATGTGGACACACCGTGTAGGTGTGCAGCTTAACAACCCCTGACCAGGACGGGGCCCGAAAACGCATCTGGAGACTTCGACTCACTTCTCACGGATCGTCGTCATCTCCGATAGCGCGCTTCTTGAAGAGGTCGAACCAGTGGTCTTTGTCTTTTGCCTGCCGAAACCCTCCTGCTGTGCGTGTTAACGCCTTTTTCAGGCACCCCGGGTTCGGGTTGGGAATATGGGTTTTTCTATGGAGGTAGGTTGTTTTTTGTTCTATGGGGTGGTGTATGGTTCTCCTGGTGGTTCCATCATGTGGATTTTAGCTTGGGTTTTCGGTGAGGTAGGGGTTGAGGTATATGTCGTTATGGTTTGGGGTCTTCAGGTGGGTCTTTCGGTGGGTTTGCATTTGGGGTTGAGGTATAGGTTGTTCTGGTTTGGGTGCTAGGGGGTGGGGCATGGTCAGAAAATGGAAATTGTATCTGCTAACTGTCTTTGGAGCCAGGTCCAATTCATCCCACTTATTGGGGAGCGGCCGTCCGGATAATGCCAGCGATGATCGCAGTAGAATAGATGGGAGCACGGGGCCAAGATTGTTTAGCTCAAGTTCTGTTGACACCCTTGGCGCGTCCTGGCAGAATCCTCCTAAACCCTAAACCCTAAACCTTGCCTTCCGAAGGATCAAGTTCACCCGGTTGGCACGGACCACGTGTTTGCACTCCTCTGGCCTCGGTAGCAGACACTTCCGGAAGGCGCTTAGATACAGTCAACAACTTGAAGTGCTTAACAGTTTAGCACCAGAGAGATGGGAGATTTCGAGTTAAGGACATGGTACGTGGATGTAATGTCCAAGCCAAACGCAGCCTGTGTGAGCATCGTATTTCAACCGGCAGCATGGTTGTCGATCTCATGGGGCAGAGGCATTTGCAAAGATCCAAATGGGTCACGCTGGATAAAGATGGTCTCGTGACATGGTCCTCGGGCTCCTGCAGTCCTGCAGTTGCGGATATAGCTGGAATAGTTACTGCAACAACATCGCCAAACACGCGCATCTGCATACATGCATCGATGCATACATGAGTAAATAAGTAAGCGAGTGAGTGAGTCGGTGAGTGAGTGTGTGAGTGAGAGTGTGAGTGAGCGAGCGAGTGAGTATGGGTAGGTATCATTTGCATGTATATTTATCCGCGTAGCCGCTTGTTTACTTGTTTGTACTTATTTCTTCATATGGCCTGTGGTAGGATGTGGTAGAGTGATGTAGAATAAAGGGGCTCTGGCCCCCTGGGGCTCAAGCTTCATCTCGCCGTGGGTCTTGTAGCATGCGAAGCGCACGTTGCGGCCACCAAGGCCTCGCCACCAGTCCCTTCCACCGCTGCTCACACCGCTGCAGTGGAACGGTACCCTGGCAAGTCCAGGCATGCTGCTATTATCCGCCAGCCTTCAACGAGAAGCTCGAATGATCTCTCTCCGAAATGTACACGGACCTGCATTGTGGTCAGTCGCTTGGGTGACAGGCTTGACTTCGATGAAGATGTGATGAGAGAGGCTGGCTGATGAGCTCCATCTGTGGAAGTCATGAAGGTCATCCATGACTTTTCGGATAGACATGCAAGATTTGCAGTTGTACTCAGTATAGTGGGTGTGTTGTAATTGTAATGTCCTGCCATGTTGCGCCATATCGTGCTCCACTGCCGTGCAGGGAAACTGACACAGTTTGTGTTCTCGGGTTTTGCTAAAACCTGAACCCTGAACCCCAAACCTTAAACCCTGGACCGTGAAGAAAGCTTGGCTTGGCGAGGCCTTGAAAACCCAAGAAGCTACACACAGAACCATTCCCAGACTAGCCAAGTGTCTGAGTACATGAGCCCCCCCAGGTGGTAAACCCTTTTATTATGGTAGGGCTTTGACCATATATCCCCAAGGTTTACGCTTTTTATTGTGGTAATGTAGGGCTATATACCGAAAAGGTTAAACGTTCCCTGCCCAGCCATTAAGCTCACATGCGTTGTCGAGTGCATAGCCAACGAAAGACACACTGCACTGTCGAAGTCCTGTTCTTGGAGATTCCTGTTCCGCCAGCTTGTTGTTCAATCTCATTTCACCACGGAAGCTTACTAAGGACAACCAGTAACCTTGCTCCAGCACAAAACCCGCCACATGGGCCCCAGCCCCACCTTTTCCGGCGAGAGCTTGCCGACCCCGTCCAAAGGAACAAGAACCTGAAAGCTTTCCATAGGGTTGGCTGGACTGGAGAAGTGGACTTTGGGAGTTGTCTGATGGATTTAGACTTACTTAGCACGCCAAGTGCCTCGGGATTCGAACAGGCCCCTAGCGCAGTCATATCTCTTGCCGTGGCACTACCTTGGGCACTTCGTTTCGAAGTTCAGTTCCCCGAATTTAAGACTGTTCCGGGAAAAATCTTGAAGGGGTCTCCAAACGCAGGAGCATATGTTACACCCCCGGAAGTCTTGCCGCGACAGCCCATGCAATGCGTAGTGCTGTCAGAACCTGCGTAATGCACACTCGGCATATGTTCTGATCTGCTGTCCCGCATCTCTGTCGCTGAGTTTTCGTGCCTTGACGGTGTCGCCGTCATTGTCCTGCCGGCGTTTGCAAAGGTGCGCATACTGTTGTTAAGTGACTGCCCTGTGATCCTCTAGCTTCCCTACAACAAAAACCCAACCTGCTCTGAAGGCATCCCACTCGCGACTGTCGCGTCCTCCCAGGTGTAGCTGTCCAAGGTCTCATATTTTGTGATGTCTGTACCTGGTTTAGGGCTGCGGGCTTGCCACTCTGCTCATGAACCAAGGCTCCTGTCGCAACTTGGCTCTGCCGCAACGTGCTCACCTCCCCAACATCTCATAAGCGTTGAACTTATGGATATAGCTCTCTGCGGTTCAGCATTAACTTCATCATCAATTACTGGTATCGGATGAATGGTCGGAGGCGGCCATTGAAACAACGTCTGCTACAGGCATCCTGATTGCAACCTGACAAGTGCAGGCGGCGACACCAAACGGCGACTGCTTGGTGTTGAACTGCTTTGGGCCCGCGTGGGCAGGAGCAACCTGACGAAGCTCGCAAGTCATGGTGGGAATCAACGGCGTCCCGAACGGCAGTACAAATGCTCTGGTTCAACGACAATGAGGAAAACAGAGATGGAACGACAAGAGCACCAAACATGCTTCAGGCACCGTCTAAGCGAACTTGGCAACAAGCCTTATCCTTTATGATGTGCTGCGATAGTGTGAGGTTATCAATTGAGTGCTTGTCCGATCCAGCGATTATTGCGGATGCTGTTTTGATCAACTTATGATTCTGGCAATGCTACTAATTTTGCACGGAATCCAAACCCGGCCCCGAGGCCCACCTTGACTGGTTCGGGGAGCCTCGCAGGCTGGGATGTGGCCTGTGGCTTCGCGATCAGACTCCTTGCGCAAGGAGCATCGACTGCCCAGGTTTTTGGATGCAGCTTGGGATGATCATTCCGAAACCGGCAACTAGAATCTAGAAGTGCAGTGCGCCCTTCCACTTAAAGCAAGCATTGGGCATTCCTGAAGCAGATGGCCAGTCGCCCCAGGGGGTGCCACAGATCATGCAGCTACAGACCCAACATCTGCGAGAGTCCGTGCTGGAAACCCTTGCCTTCGAAGAGGACTCCTGCGGGCAAGCCCTAGGACTTTGCTTGGGGTGCCCAGTTCTACACCTGAAAGCCCGAGAAGGAGCTGCCTTCTGTCGCGGTTGTGCGCGTAGTAGTAGGACCTGTGGAAGTCCCCATTCTGGAAGCCAGGTAGTTCGGTAGAGGTACCATGGTACCTAAAACACTCGTCTTCGTCATCGTGGTAATGCAAATATTGCAGTCGTAGTGGGGTAGTGGGGGTACTTTGCGTCGCGGTGTAAGTGGGCGTCGTGGTCGTTGTGATCGTAGTCGTAGAAGTAGTAAGTAATAAGCAGTAAGTCCTAAGAAGCTAGAAGTAGTAGTAGCAGTAGCAGTAGCAGTAGCAGTAGCAGTAGCAGTAGCAGTAGCAGTAGCAGTAGAAGTAGCAGTAGCAGTAGCAATAGCAGTAGCAGTAGGAGTAGGAGTAGGAGTAGGAGTAGTCGTAGTAGTAGTAGTATTAGTAGTAGTAGTAGTCGTAGTAGTAGTAGTATTAGTAGTAGTAGTAGTAGTAGTAGTAGTAGTAGTTGTAGTAGTAGTAGTAGTAGTAGTAGTACTAGTACTAGTACTAGTACTAGTACTAGTACTAGTACTAGTACTAGTACTAGTACTAGTACTAGTACTACTAGTGCTAGTACTAGTACTAGTACTAGTACTAGTACTAGTACTAGTACTAGTACTAGTACTAGTACTAGTACTAGTACTACTACTACTACAACTACTACTACTATACTACTACTACTGGTGAAAGAGAAGCAGTGGTGGCTGCGGTGGTATGGCCGTAGCCATGCGAAGGAGGCTCATCCTCGCCCATAATGGACTACGAGCTAAATCCAACAGTCGCAGCTACGACGGCAGCAGCAGTGGAAGCAGCAACAACAACGTCAGCAACAACAACAACAACGACAACAACGACAACAACAACAACAACAACAACAACAACAACAACAACGTGCGGACGCCTTGTAAACGCGCGGTCCGAGCCAACAACAACAAGAACAACAACACCAACATCAGTACCGACAACAACAATCACAACAACCACAGCCCCACGAACAACATGAACTCTTGCAGATTGTACAAACACAGACAGCAAGCAAAGGGAAGACTCGGTATGATCAAGGTGATGCTACTGGCGCTGCATCACCCAAATCCTAAGTGGCTTCCTCGCTCTGGAATGAACTGGCTATGGGTCGCCCTTGCAGAGTTTCTTCCAACTTTGTCTCTAGAATCTAGATGGGCGCACAGGGTGGTAGTTGCCTGACAATCAGCAATCGAACCGTTCTTCTGATGCCCAAGCCTAAAGCGTATCTGGGCCCTTGGCAACTCTCCTCGCTTGGCACGGCTTTCGTTCAGTGCTGAACCTGGCACAGGGAGGGCCCTCTTCGATACGACATGTAGTAACGGCTGGAGCTTGGGACTTCGCGCGGTCCGGAACTCGTGCAGTTCTCCACGGCAATATCCTCACCAACATCATCGTCGACCAGAAGCTTCTTCTTCATCATGATTAGCAACACCGCATCATGTCCTTTTGGGGGGACTCCCATTTTCAGAAGCTGATGGTCTGCATGCCCACATGCAGTGACACGTGCGCGCACACACACACACACACACACGCCCACACACCCACCACACAAACATGACCGTGCGAGTGCCTGTGTGTCAGACATGCCTGTCGAAGTGGTGATGCCAGGTACTGAGACATATGATGCTGCTTCCATACTCAGGGTGTTCCCCGAACACATCCTAGCATGCCTATTGAGTCTGGACAGCGAGAACCTAGACCCGAACAAGTCGAGAAGGCATCATATGGAAGCTTCGGAAGATAAAGAAGTGAACCCATCCCCCCGGCCCCCCACCTGCGGAACCCCAAATGATCAACTCCCATCTTGAGTGAACCCCCCCGACCCCCCCCACTACAAATGAGGGACTGCTATTTCCTGAAATCACTGTTTCAAAAGCACCCCGCCTGTTGAGTCCGAAGTAGGTGTTGGCCGGAGGAAGAAGTCGTTGTGCTCCCAGGCGAAAGCCTAAACCGCTTTGGCAGCCCATCGACATCCAAAGGAGAGTAGTGGTGGTGGCATCGATTCATGACTGCTACAACACAGACTACCCTTCTATCCGATGCAGAGCATAACTGAGGAAGGAATGAAACATTGAGGGAGCAGAGATACATAAAGACACACTAAGAGCTCATGTTGCTGTTACCACATCGGCAGTTCGGCAGTTTTGTTCTCTTCATGCTGGACACAGCTTCGAGCTGGTCACTGGCTTCAGGGAGAGCTTGCTTCCGGGCACGAGTGCAAGTCCTTTAGCCGGGAGCCGGAACAGCAGGTATCCATTGGAAGTACGCCGCCGCTGACGTTGCCGACAGAGACGTCGGTTAATGTGCAAGTATGTGTCTGTACAAAGGCATCTTTGTACCTATGTATGTTTGTATGCATGTACGTACATGTATGTACATATATATATATATATATGTATATATGTTTATGTATACACATAAAATGTACATACATGCATCTACATTTGTTGCTGCCAAGGGCGGCAACATGGCTTAGGAGTGGATCGTTGCACACGAGGTTCACCCTTGCTGGGTTTGGCCGGCAAGCAATACTAGAGGTCACGAAGCTGCAACCTAGGCGAAGTAGCACGAAATGATTCGCACTCAGAACCGCGAAGGACTTCAGCCATCGACAACATGTCCAAGGGCCCAGCTGCCACGGAGCAGCTGTCGGGGATGGGGCACAAATCCTGATCATGTGTCATCTGCGCTGGTTGCACTCTTCATGGTCGTCCTGGACTACGTTGTCGTCTCCCCACTCTGCTGCCCACCGGGATTCAAGCCTTTCCTGAATGTCGGGGGATCCAAAAGTGTGGATCAAGCCTTCTCTCTGACCCTGCGGCTCCTGGTTCCAGAAGCACAGCTTGTCCTCAAGTGGCGGACACACGCCGACGACGATGGATCGCAAGACTGACGACCAAAACAGCGACAGAAACGTGAGCTGCCAGGGAGAGCAATGGTAACGTGAGCTGCCAGGGAGAGCAATGGTCAGAAAGACTTGAAGAGCATCACAATGTCAATAGCATCACCTGGTCGAGCGATGGTAACAACCATGTAAACAAATGGCAGGCAAGACGATGATCCACTAGCCACCGTGATAGAACGGTGCTGTCCTGAGCAGCAACTCTTGAGAGACGGGAACCCGGCACTGAGCAGGGGACATACTCCAACTCAGAGGCATCTGTCGCCCTCCGCCCGATCTCTTTCAGGAGTGCCTGCGGCGAGAGTCACGTGGTAGTTTTCTGTCATGTTTATTGCAAGGTAAATTACTCTGCAGGAGTCTCCTCACAAGAAGTGTGAGTGTGTGAGCATAAGTGTGAAATTAAGTGCATTCAGTACGGCTTTGACCGCACATTGCTTACATGGGTCTGTTCGACAAGGCAAGCTAGAAGTCTCACTCTTCGTGAATTCTTCTGGTCCGGAAGGTGCTTCGGCAGCTCAAGCATGAGTTTCGCTCCGTGTGACAGCACGTGTCTCCTGCTTCAAAGTGCCAAACTGTGTCTCCTCCGGCCGCCCAACCTGCAGCGAAAAGATTTTGGCGAAGAGAATGTGTTTTGGTGTCAGTGTTCTGACTGTCATACTCTTGCGTGTAGAAGGCCACAGCAGCTTCTCTGTGCCATCAACCAGTCTCCGATCATGACCGGTCTCTTGAGGACTGGTTGTCCAAGTCGCAGGATTGCGAGTACGAAAAGACAGAGGTCGGTACAACGTCTCAGCCCTCGGATCTCCGAAGCCCGAAACACTTGGCCTGGATGGGGAGCGCAAACGTGGGATACCTTCACTGGCTGGCGAGTCCGGTGAGGCAGAGGTGGTACGGTGTATACGTCGACATATGCACGTCCATGTATGTATGTTCGATCTCTGTGTATGTTTACATCTGTCTACGTTTAGGGGAGGGGAATCCACCCTGGGCGCAACCATGCGTATATATACATATATACAAATATATATGTGTGTGTATATATATATATATATATCCAGATGATGTATGTGTACATATATTTATCGCTCTCTCTTTCTTTCTCTCTC